ACAACTCTTCTGGTCTTTGGTCTTTAGTGTTTAATGTATCAAATCTGTTCTTCAGATGATCTCTAAATTCAGGTGGGATATATTCAAGGACATATTTTGGCTCTTGTGGACTTGTTTTTGTTTACTTTAGCTTCAGTTTGAATTTGCATATGAGTAATTGATGGTCTGTTCCACAGTCTGCCCCCTGGCCTTGTTTTCACTGATGATATGGAGCTTTTCCATCATCTCTTTCTGCCGATGTAGTCAATTTGATTTCTATGCATTCCATCTGGTGAGGTCCATGTATATAGTCGTCACTTATGCTATCTAAAGAAGGTATTTGAAATGAATAAATCATTGATTTTGCAGAATTCTATCATGTGTTCTCCAGCATCATATCTATCACCAAGGCCATATTTTCCAACTACTGATCCTTCCTCTTTGCTCCCAACCTTTGCATTCTAATCACCAATAATGATGAACACATCTTGATTGCATGTTTGATCAATTTCAGATTGAAGAAGTTGGTAGAATTCTTCTATTTCGTCCTCACTGGCTTTAGTGGTTGGTGCATAAATTTGAATAATAGGGGTATTAACTGGGCTTCCTTGTAGGCACATAGATATTATCCTATCACAGACAGCGTTGTATCTCATGACTGATCTGAATATGTTTTTGACAATGAATGCAACACCATTCCTCTTCAATTTGTCATTCCTGGCATAGTAAACCATGTGGTTGTCAGATTCAAAATGGCCAATACCAGTTCATTTCAGCTCACTAATGCCTAAAATATCGATGTTTATGCATTCCATTTTATTTTTGACAACTTCCAATTTTCCCAGATTCATACTTGTACATTCCATGTTCCAGTTTTCAATGGATCTTTACAGCTGTTTCTCTTCATTTTGAGTTGTGTCCCATCAGCAAATTAAGGTCCTGAGGGCTTTTCTCCCATGGGCTTTACTCCATTTGCATCATCACGGTCAACTGTACTTTGAGGAGGCAGCTCTTCCCCAGTCGCATTTTGAGTGCCTTCCCTCCTAAGGGGCTCATTTTCTGGCACTATATCTGACAGTGTTTCTCTGCTATTCATAAGACTTTCAGTGACTAACTATTCTGAAGTAGTTTGTCACTCTTTCTTCCTAGTCAGTGTTTGTCTGGAAGTTCATCTGAATCCTGTTCACCATGGGTGACCCTGCTGCTATTTACAATACCATTGGCATAGCTTTCAGAATCACAGCAACTCAGAAGCCACCACAGTATGACAAACTGACAGACGAGTAGCATATTAGGTCAATGAAAATACTATGCCTTGGATTAGGTGCACGTTAATTCTCAAAATGACATCTTTGCTCTTTAACTATTTAAAGAGATCTTGTGCAGCAGATCTTCCTAATACAATACGTCATTTGATCTCCTGACTACTACTTGCATGGTCATTGATTTTGAGTCCAAGTAAAAGGAAATCCTTGACAACTTCAGTCTTGTCTCCATTTATTATGACATTGTCTATTGGTCTAGTGTGAGGATTTTTGTTTTCTTTACACTGAGTCATAATCATTGTTGTTGTTGTTGTTAAGTGCCATCGAGTTTATGCCGACCCATAGTGACCCTGTTTCCAAGGAGCAGCTGGTGAGTTTGAACTGCCGACCTTGCAGTTCAAATGACTTTGCAGTCTGGAGCATTAACCCACAGTGCCACACCAGGACTCCATTAGGAAATGCCAATCGAAACCACAATGAGCTATCACTTCACACGTTGTTGTTGTTGTGGTTAAGTGCTGTCCAGGTAGATTCAACTTCTAGCAATTCAGCATAGGGTTTCTGTGGATTGGATGGTAGATTTGAAACACTAACCTTGCATTTAGTAGTCAAGTGCTTATTCTACAGAACCACACCAGAATTCTCACTTGTACTAGGAGAGTTATAATAAAAAAAGATGGATAATAACCAGTGTTGGATGTGGGAGAAACCAAACCCTATACATTGCTAGTTGGGCTTTAAAATGGTGTGGCAGCTGCTGTGGAAAACAGTTTGACTCTCATTAAAAAATTGAATCATTTAGTTACAATATGATCCAACAATTCTGTTCCTATGGAATTGAATTGAAAACATAGGTTCATGCAAAAATTTGTACCTGAATATTCATAGCAGTATTATTCATATTAGCCCCAAAGTAGAAACAAGTCAAATGTTCAGCAACTGGTGAATGAGTAAACAAACAAGGTATTTGCATATAATAGACTATTATTCCACTAATTATACATGCTACAACATGGATGAACCTTAAAGACATATGTCGCGTATGATGTAAATAAGCCACACAGAAAGGATCATATTTTATATAGTTCCAATTATATGAGATACCAGAACAGGAAAATCCACAGAAACAGGGACCCTAGGGGAAGATATAAGTGGGGAGTAACTGCTAATAGATACAGAGATTTCTTTTATAAGGCAATAAAAATTGAAATTAGATAGTGGTGAAGGTTCACAGACATGTGAATACATTAAATTCCACTGAATTGTACACTTTAATGGGGTGAATTTTAGTGTATATAAATTATATCATATTTACAAAAAAGCATTTGAATCTAGCATTTTCTAGGGTGGTCCTGAGATTTTGATTGAAGTTGTTTATCTTGGCAATAGGCAAACACACACAGCTATGCACAACCAGACAAACCACCATACAACCTAACACAAGTACAAGCATTTCTAGGGACTGCGAATATGTGATTATAGTTCATTTTCCTGGCAAACTATTTTCTTGAACAATATCCCTAATAGGCTCACTCACCACAAAGCTGGAATCATCATAACTCTACAGATTAAGGTCAATAGTGGCAACCCTACCTGTGATATTGTTTTGTTGTTCCATCAATAATCTATTTATTTCTGAAAACCAACAGTCTCTGATTTCTTTTGATGCTGCCTGCAATTACAGATAAGAAAGTACTGTAAGTATCAGGTCGCCCTGAATGTTAATTGCACTGGACAATTAATTTTATTAGCTGGGTGTCCTTTAGAATAATCAGATAGAAAACACTTTATAAGTTGTGGGAATGCCACAGGATAAAGTAGAGAACACCTGTGGGGAAGGCAAGAGCTTTACCTGTACGATGTATTTCTCAAGTCCATTTCGACTGGCAATTTCAAATTTTTTGTTACTCCCTCTTCCAACTTGGCTAATTGAAAGGGTCATCAACTATAGTACAAAAAGAAATGTTTTATGTCAGAATTATCTGATGTAAAAACTGCCCTTGTCAGTCATTTTAATCCTTTCTAGCCTTGACAACTCTTATTCCATCTTTCTTCCAAGTGTTTTGTCATTGTTTTCTAACAGCACCCCCAAATCAAAAACACCCAAGCCTGTTGTCATTGCGTCAATTCTGACTCATGGAGAACCCATGTGCTTCAGAGAACTGTGGTTCATAGGGTTTCAATAGTGGTGATCTTTCAGAAGCAGATTGCCAGAACTTTCTTCCTAGGTACCTCTGAATGGATTTGAACTGCCAACCTTTAGGTTAGTAGTTGATTGCTTACATATTTGCATCACCCAGGGACTCCTTTTGATGGTTCCAAGAAACACAATCAGGTACAGCATCATCTGTCTTGTGTGTTTTGAAGGGTAACAAGGACTATATGCATATCTTTCCATATATAGAGCCTTCAGTCTTCAGGCAAAGACATCATCTTTCCTTTAAACACCTCAATGCAGTAAAACCTGTGAGAGCCTGAGCTCTACACAACTGCCTTGCCTCGTAAGACGAAGGTGTGGTCTTACTACTTTTCTATCACTCTCTATTAGTGGAAAGTATGTGCGTTTTCCTTCTCTGAGAGGTTCCCAAGGAGTCCTGGTGTCAGAGTGGTTTAAGTGCTCAGCTGTCAACTAAAGGTCGGAGGTTCAAACTCACCAGCCGTTCCACAGGGGCAAGATGAGGTAGGATGCTGCTGTCTAGATACATAGTCTTGGAAACCCTATGGAGCAGTTCCACTCTGGGAGCAGTTCCATATGCTCTATTGGGTCGCTATGAGTCGTAATCCACTCAACAGCAGTGGGTTTGGTTTTTTAGGTTTGACAGGTTTCCTTATACAGGTTTTGGCTTTTGCAGTTTTTACTGTTATTTCACAAATCTCCACGTAATAGTAACTAAATTAGTATGCATTGTTGCCGTTGTTAAGTGCCATCGAGTTGGTTCTGACTCATAGAGACCCTGTATAGAGTTTCCAAGGAGTGGCTGGTAAGTTTGAACCACAGACCTTGCAGTTCAAACCAACCTTGCTGTCTAGTGCTTATCCTACAGCACCGCACCAAGACTCCATTAAGCCCATAATAAAAAAGGCTACTCTGAATAAATGAACTATTTTAATTTCAAGAACATGCATACATATTAAAAATCATGTGTGTGATATATCCATTTAGCTAGGGAAATTTCCTATACAAAAAAATGACAAGGCTATGGGCATGAATTCCTGGTTGCACACAGTCAGCATGCCACCTACAGCTGTACCCAAAGATGCCCACTGAGAAAGGCCAATAGAAGTTGAAATCCAGCCCGAGTTCTAATCAGTCTTTTGCCTTGTTCTAATCAGTCATTTGCCTTAGAGGAAAAAGGGCATTTTCTCCAACTAGTTTGTACAGACTGGCTGCTTGCTGCATGGTCCTTTGTTTTTCCTTAGTGTGAAGACACCTCGGTGCTAGTCCTAGTTCTATTGAGTACTGATTACATGCCAAGACTCTGAGTGTGCATTCTAGTTCTACTGTTTGGCAATTTAACTTCACCTCTCTACCGTTCAGTTTCCTTATTTCCTTAACTCTCCCCTTGGGAGTGTCATGACTCCCCAGGTGCAATAATCAGTAGCCATCAAATCGATTCTGTCTCATGTTGTGTCAGAGTTCAACTGTGCTCCATAGAGTTTTAAATGGCTGATTGTTCAAACATGTATTTCCAGGCCTTTCTTCTGACGTGCCTCTGAGTGGACTTGAACCTCTAATGTAGTAAGCAGCTGAGTGTATTAAGTGTTTGAACTCCCCCCGGTGCAATAGGACCCCCTTTACCTTCATAGACTTCTTAAAGCTGAAGTGAGGAGAAAACCCCTGGTCGCTGGGTTCCACTCGTATCTTACAGAACACTATTCCCCTTTCAAATAGATAGATTTGCCTCTGGCTGGGCTTGAATCGCATCAAATCCTTCATCTTATAACGATCCTTGTGAATTGTCCAGATATTGAAAGGACCTTGCATCAACAGCTTGCCCAGTTTTCCTATATCATCCTTTTGGAAATAGACACAAAGAAAGAAGTCATTGAATTACTTTCAAATGCATTCTTATTTTAGGTATTTAATCTTAAAAGTGCTACTCAGAACACAGGGAGGAAGTGAGCTAAGCGATGTTGCATGGAGGAGATGGCAATCATTGAGATGAAACAAAGTGGATGATTTAGTCATTCAATTCACAATAAAAAGGTAAAAAAAAAAAAAAAAAAAAAAAAAAAGAAGCCACTCCAGCTAATCTAACACAAAATAAAAAATACAACTTTGTGAACCTCACTGAGGTGCATCCAGATACGTAAGATCATAACTTGAGCTGTGTGAGGTATTAGACATAAAACATGTTAGAAATACTTCAACTAAAGTACTTATATTTTGTTTTGTAAGTAATTTTAGCTAGCAGAGTTTCATTTCTTCTTTGTTTTTAACTCACAAGTCTCCTTAATAAGGGCAAAAAAAGAATCTTTTAACAATGCTCTGAAGAGAGAAATTGTACTGAAGTATTTTGGGTATGTTGTCAGGAAGAATCAGTCCTTGGAGAAGGACATCATGATTGGTAAAGTGGAGAGTCTGCAAAAAAAGGAAGACCCTCTACAAGATGGATTGATACAATGGTAGCAACAGTGGGTTCAAACGTAATACCAATGGTAAGGATGGCACAGGACGGGTCAATGTGGTGCATAGGGTTGCTGTGAATCTGAACCAACTCTGCGACATTTAACAACAGCAACATGAAACTATGGCAATCCTTGTGTTCCACTTGCATTCTAACCCTCCTTTCAGGTATATGAAAACCTAAGGCCATGAGGTTTGTTCTGAAAAGAGAATGCTCATTAGGACATAATCTTTGAAAGATGTGACCATTCATAGAAACAGTACTCACTTGAACTCTGTGTGAGTGAATGGGGAAGAGATCATTCCAAATGACAGGTATTTAAGAGAAGCCCATTTTGCACCAGACCATACAACTGTGATGCCTCACTTTCCACCAGCAAGCCTGCCTTCCTTACACACTTCTGGCTGGGTGCCCACGTGCGATGACCCTACCTTTTCTGAGCTCTCTTCACAAGGTGATAGCATGAGAGTCTGGGAGTCTGTGGAACAGCAAGGAGGACCCTTCCATTTTATCTTATATTTTCCAAAAAGTAAGTAACTTACAAGCAGATAATAAAATGTATTTCCCTGAGTCCAAGTACCAAACAAACAACATTATTTTAGCGGGACTAGGAGAGAGAGATTTGTCCTGAGATTTATCTAGCTGGGATAAATCCCTATGGTTCTGAAACGTAATACTAGGAATATGTGCATTATTTTATAGTTATCTGTGTATTATTTGCAATCTGTTGTTTATAGATAAATTTTATTGTGTATAGTTGAATAAACAAGAGTCCTGGTGTGGCACTGTAGTATAAGCATTGGACTGCTAACGACAAGATTGACCACTAGTCGCTCCTTTGAAACCCTATAGAGGGTCACTATGAATTGGAACAAGTGCTATGATACTTAACAACATCTTTTTTTAAAAGGAACTGACTGTATTGTTGAATTGGCAAATGTTTTGTTTGGTCTATTTTTACTGTACACATACACAAAGGAATTAACTGTACTTCTGAAATTAAAAAATGAAAACTCTAAGGGAATAAGCTCTAGTTATTTCACTGGTGATTACAACCTATTTCTGGGCTGATTGTCTCTTTTTTGCTTTGTAGGTTTACATGTATAAACTATGAAGAGTGAAGCCCTGTTGGAGAACCAGGAGTCATACATATAACGTTTTCTTTCTATGAGTCATTACAAAACTGGTTAGGTTTAATCACAAGTATTTCATCTTTTTAGTCGCTATTATAAATAGTATTGTTTTCCTGATTTCCTTTTCAGAGTTCTCTGTTAGTGTAAAGGAAACAAAACTGATTTTCTGTGTTGATCTTGTATCCTTTCACTTTTCTGAATCCTTCTATTAGTTTCAATAGCTTCTTATAGACTCTCTGGAATTTTCTACATATAGGATCATATCATCTGGTAGTGTTGTTGTTATGTGCCGTGGAGTCAGTTCCGACTCATAGTGACCCTGCATAGGGTTTCTGAGGCTGTAAATCTTTACAAGAGCAGAAAGCCTCATCTTTCTCCCATGGAACAGCTGGTAGTTTCTAACTGCCGACCTTGCGGTTCGCAGCCCAATTAGTAACCACTATACTACCAGAGCTCCTGGTTACAAAAGAATGATAGTTTTACTTCTTTCTTACTAATTTGAATGCTTTTTAGATCCTTTTCTGGTCTTTTTTGTTTTGGCTAGGACTTCCAGCACAATATTGAATTGTTGTTGTTGTTAAGTGTTGTTGAGTCGATTCTACACATGAAGCAGCTGATGGGTTTGAACCACCAACCTTGTGGCTCGCAGTCTAGTGTTTATCCTATGGAGTAGGGCTCCAAAGTTGAATAGGAGTGATGATAAAGGGCATGATGACTTGTGCCTGTTCTCAAGGGAGTGCTTTCAGTCTCTCAATTGAGAATGCTGACTGTAATGAAGAGCATCCTGCTCCTCTTCCATGTTGCATGAAGCTCAGCTTGACCACATTCCAAGACAGAGGATGGATGGGTCTATGAGGAGTCTTGAGAAGTTTTCACTTTAGCTTCCTTCTGAAAGAACCTATTCAAATGCAACCACTGTAGCTCTCAGCAATTGCTTTTCATTTGTTATTGTTGTTGTCTTGCAGCATCAAGTCCATTCTGTTACAGAGTAGAGCAAGGTTTTCTTTATGGAAGCAGATTGCCAGATATTTCTATGGTGCCATCACTGAGTAAGTTGAACAGACGACCTCTTGGTTACCAGTTCATTTGCATCACACAGAGACCTTGCTTTCTCCTTTAAAAAGATGAAATTATATGGTGGTTGGTGGTTAGGTGCTGTGAAGTCTGTTGTGACTCATAGCAACCCTGGATAGGGATTCTGAGACTATAAATATTTATGGGAGCAGAAACAGCTGGTTGTTTTGAACTGTTGACCTTAGGTTAGTAGCCCAACTTGTAACCACTATGTTACTAGAGCTCCTTAAGAAATTATATATATATATATATTTGTTGTTGTTTCTGAATGTCATCAAATTGGTTCCAACTCATTTCTAGTTGTTGATAGGTGCCATTAAGTTTGTACTGACTCATGGTGACCCTATGCACTAAAGAATGAAACACTGTCCAGTTCTGTGCCAACCTTACAATCGTGGTTATGCCTGAGTCCATTCTGCTGCTATTGTGCCAATCCATCTCATTGGGGTCTTCCTCTTTTTCTCCAACCCTCCACTTTAGCAAACGTGATATCCTTCTCCAGGGACTGGTCACTCCTGACAATATATCTGAAGCATGAGAAACAAAGTCTGGCCAACCAAGAAGAGTTCTGGCAGTACTCCTTAAAACACAGATGTTTGTTCTTTTGGCAGTCCATGGAATTTCCAGTATTCTCCTCCAACACCATAACTCAAATGCATGAATTCTTCTACGGTCTTCCTTATTCACTGTCCAACTTTCACATGCTTATGAAGTTATGTAAAATACCATGGCTTGGGCCAGGCACGCCTTAGTCTTCAAACTGACATCTTTGCTCTTGAACACTCTAAAAAGGTTGTGTGCAGTTGATTTGCCCAATGCAATATGTCCTTTGATTTTTTTTTTTTTCCTGGCATAGAAAATGATGAATTAAGCAGAAATTTTATTTCCAAACTCTTCAAAGATTATCATAAATACAAAGTAACCTTATAAAAGTATACCAAATTAAATCGAAGGCTTATCAGTAAAATACAACATTTGTGATGCGAAAAAAAAATTTTTTAGGTTGTAATATTTTCACAAACTTTAACCATATTTAACCATTTGCAATGTTCTATAGGTCATATTTTAAACATTTTAAAAGATATAAATAATGTAGCATTTTTTTAAGTACAACAAAAAATTAGTACAGGAACTTAAGACAGCAGCCAAATTGTCTTCATACACAAGATAGGGCAAACTAACATACAATACAGCATAAACCTTTCCAAACAAGTGTGATCAGAAACAGCACCCATGATTAGTGTTAAAAATAAACTATATTCTCATTTAGAAAAATTCAGCATCCATTATTAAAGCCTAGTCTTCCCCCAAATTTTATACAGTTAGTTCCAGGTTATGAGCATCTGACTTACATCCAACCCATTATTACAAGCCAATCCCCATAAAACCTAATGTATTAAAATTCTGAGGTACATACAATGGATCATAATAACAAATAGACACTATTTTTTGACGTACATCAAAATATTCTTATAAAACATGTTAAGCATGTTTTAGTGTATCTGGAAGTGTTTCTTTAATACTTTTTATACATAGAATAGTATACTGTGTAGTAAGACATACATATGACTAACTGATATTAGATATGAGCCACACCTGAATTCTAATTTAAATACAAACCTGATTTAGGAGTGGAACTTGATCATAATCTGGAGACTGCCTATACTTGCTTATCTTCATTTAGAAATGAGCAAAAAAATTTTTTTGTTAAGGTACAAAAACCTTAGGAACAAATTATAAATATCAAAATTTTGTGATGAGCAAAAAGGTTTTTCTTCTTAAAATGTACACATCCAGTAAACAAAACATACATGATATTCCAAGTATAAAAACAACAATAATTGATTTATAAGAAAGGTGTATTTTGGTATGTTTAGTGGTAAATGTTTGCTTGTCTTAAGTATACAAGCACATCACCAAAAGAAACAGGCCATTATTATTTAAAGATTTGCCCCTTTACCTAGTTTCCTTATTTGAGCAAAACCACATCAATCTCTATATAATTTTGGCTAAAAGACCAGGTCACAGGAAAGGTCTCAAATAACTAAAAGTTGTTTGGCTAGAGAGATGTTTTCTTGAAACTTGGAGACAGTCATTCATCACTTCATACTTGAAGGCATTCCTCAGTGAGCTTTTCTCTATACTGTTCAGAGTAAAGCACAGGATCTGGGCTCCCGAAA